TGATATTCCCCGTGCTGCTGACGCGCCTGGAGAATCGGGTGCACCCACTGCGATCTCCTACGTCTCCGTTTATGCAGGTAAATCAGTGCTGCACAAGCAACTACTTGGCGATCATCCATTGTGAGAAGGTAAATTTGAAAAGAAGCGCTGCAACTATTTATAGGTAACATTTTAAGTGGGAATGCAAATAACTGGCTCACAACAATATTTATTTGACAAATTATGTCCTATCAGGAGTCGGCGCAAAGATAAAAGCTACACGTTTGTTTGTTTTGCGGCCCCTTTAAAAAGTTCTCAGAGCCTGGCATTCTGAGTGGCCTTGTCCCCGCCCACCCTATGACGTCAGAGAGCGTCTCCGGCGTTGGCTAGCCTCGCGTTCAGGGCGGCGGGAGCGACGGCTGGCGTCTTTGACGCTTGCGGTGTGAACGTAACATAAGGGGGCCAGGGCCGTGTGGGACGCTATCCCCCGGACTACAAGGTTTCTTAAAGGGGCAGCGCCGTCTTTAACGGCGCCAACCCTGACGACAATTATTGATGCGCCTGATTTGCCCGTCCTGTCTGACTCGCCGGCACCACCAGTCCTGCCTGTCCCATTGTCCCCTGACGTGCCTGATCTGCCAGTTCTGCTTGTCCCGGCGGTGCCTGCTGAGGCGCCCCCTGCTGGCCACGAGTCGGCAATGGCTGCTAGGGCACCCCCTGTGGGCCCAGAGCCCGCGGCCCACCAGCCTGCTGCTGCCGCTATGCCCGAGGTCCCGACGCCGCCTTCAGCCCCAGCTCCGCCTGCAGCTACGCCCGAGGCTCCTGCTGCGACACCCGCGGCCCATCTGCCTGATGCCGCCACCGCCACTGCATGAAGCCTTGCCCGTCCTGCCTGCCTTGCCTGTCTCGTCTGCCCTGCCCGTCTCGTCATCACCCCCTGCTGGCCGAGAGTTGGCGGTCGCTGCTGCACCGCCTGAGCCGCCCAAGAACGTCTAGCTGCAGACGTCTGTAGAGTGGAGCTCCACCGGAAATACGTCACCTCCACAGGAAACACGTGATCTTTAAGGACGTAAAGTGGAGCTTCGGTTAGGGTTAGGGACCGGGTTAGGCTTAAGGTTAAGGTTAGGGTTTATTTACTGTGACACAGAGTTGAGGCCACGTGTTTCCTGTAGAGGTGACGTATTTCCGGTGGAGCTCCACTCTACAGGCGTCTGCACTCTGCAGCTGGACCCTTCTCGAGCCGCCTGCAGCCCCGTCCGGGGCTCCTGCACCGACCCCGCCTCTGGCTGCGCTCAAGGCTCCTGCGATGGCCCCGCCTCCTGCTGCACCCATATTATTTTTTTATTTCATCAGCAGTGGATGTGTTTTCATATTTACTACATTGTTGCAAGGTTTCTGCATACATTTCACCACAATTGTGAATATCATTTTGAGGTTCTCCTCTGTGTTGTTTTTAAAATTTGTGTTTTGGTGCTTTATAATAAGAGCTCCTAAGCATAACATAATATGAACTAAAACAGACAATAATAAACCTTTTTGTCTAGGAGCCGCTAGTGGATCGTTACCTTTTTCCAATGCACAACCTATATTATAATGTTACCTATGTATGTACATGTTTATTAATTATACTGTACCCATGCAATAAGGCAATATATACATGGGTTAATAACTATGACAAAATAAGACATCTATAGTAAAGTGCTTAGAGCGGTGGACAGTCTATGACAGTGCACACATCTCAGATCTGGTACTCCTATAAATCTATATATTGTACATTATGCAGAGTCCACTGTTGAAAGCTCACTTTAAAGGACATGCATCTGTCTCAAAAGACAGAGGATTCTATCTAAAGCAGCCGTAGGGTGGCGACAAATGTGAAAAGTGAATCGTAAGTAAGATTGTATGATATTGATTTATGTGTGTTTTTGATTTAAGTGTCATTGCAGAACCGCGTTTTATGTGTACAAGTATAACACAAAATGTGAGTCATAACAGAATTAGGTGGCGGCGGGAGCTTGTCCCCTTTCTCTTATTGTTACTTGTTATTAAGTCGCATGGATAATATCCCCAAAAATCCTACGCCGGGCCACTGAGTCCGTGTCCATTTCTGTTTAGACCGCTCCCGCGTTTGATATGCAGCATTTCCAGTTTGTAAATGAAAGTGAAAGTATTTTAATGTTGGACTCTCCATTTTGTCAAGAAGCACGGATAAGATTCTGTATTGCAAGGTAAGATTTTAGTCAATAAAATATATATGTGTGCGTGTGTATGTATGTATGTATGTATGTATGTATGTATACATATAAAAACACACCTATATATAGCGGCCGCATCCGTTGCATTAAGTAGCTAGTAGATATTATGCATACATGTATGTCACTATATTTACCCTTCTTGTTCTTTAGGGGCCCCAGCATCAGTTATCTAGATCGGCACAAAAATGGAACGAGCTGCTTCTGAAGTGACCCCCCCTGTGGAGTGTAAAACAAAGAGAGCTGAGAGGTAAGACAAAACCTGTGTGTTTGTACGGCTTTAAACACGGTCATAAAAATAAACGTTCCAGCATTCTCGAAAGAGCGAGAAATCAGTCTTAACGTAATTCACTTCCTCGAGACTTAACTGCTTCAAGTCCGTGGGGTAGATGATTTATGTTTATCCTTTATGAACTTTATGAAATTTAATTTCCTTAAAGAATTGACATCTAATTGTACTCCCCGGACGCCGTGCTCTGCTGCCACCTAGCGCTTTTTCTTCAATTTTTCACATCTTTATGGCGCAAGACGAATATGCGCTAAAATAAAATCCATATTTTCGGTCTCCGCATCCCCCCCCCAAATTCAGAACATGTTATCAGTATTCAGTCCAGTAGCTGGTCAGCAAACTTTTTTATTGGTAACTTCGTGAAGTTTACTGTGGGGAACCCCATTTAAGGCTAAATTTATGTAATATCAAGCAACAACAGGCAAGTATGGCAACGGACGCTGTAACAATGATACTAAACCTTTCATACTGGGATCTTCATTTAGGTGAGACACTATTTCACATAAAGACAGAGCAGAAGGTTAAACAGATGAAGATTTAATGTGACACTGTCCACATTATATGAATTATATTTATATAATGAGGATCTTTCCTCTCACTGTCCACAGTGTCCTGATGGAGAGAGCAGGCTCACCTGTACCCAGCTGTGTTTCCATGAAGAGTGACAGGTCAATGGACCGACCAGTCGTATTCAGAGAGGGACGTTTTCCTACAGATCAAAGGTAAATATACATTTAAACATTGTTTAAAACACTCTGACTCTCAGTCAAAAGACATATAGGCAAACACAAGCTACAAGAAAAAACAATCTTCAACTTCACATTTTTTAACTTTTGCAAATCTCATTGTCTTTGAAAATGTAAACAGAAGTTTTGACTGTCTTCTGTATAAATTACATCTGAGGTAAAAGGATGAGGATTACTGTAAAGACTGACTTATTGAGAGCTGGAATTAGAAGGTAGATTGAAAAATGCACTTTAAACGTCAATCCTCAGCATGCAGCTGGAACAAAGCTACTGCTCTATATTGATTAAGCATGACTGGACAATAGATTGTCTTCTTCTGGGACGGATGTTTCTGTTTTGATAATAAATAGATTCTCATGGGCTCCTTAGCTCTGTTCAGACAGATGCCTTGTCCACACGTACATGGGTAATTTTTAAAAGTACCTTTTTCTATACGTCTTGGGCTTTTGGCCACACGTAAACGGCGTCTCAGGTCACTGAAAACGGAGCTTTTGCAAAACTCTATCCAGGGTGAAGATTTTAAGAAAGTCCGTCTTCAGCGTCGACATGTAGACAGGGAAAACAGAGTTTTTGGCTCGAAACGTCAGATTGTGCACCGTTGTCCACTTAGCTTAGAGCGTGCGCTGTTTGCTGTATACATTAGGCGAGTTTGAGCATTGGCGGAAATAGTGCTTGTGCTAACCTTGCTGACAGGACTTCTTACATGTGTACAGATACATGTTGAGTCACTCTCGCATTATATTGATCAAGACAGGCGTCGGAATGTGCGCCATGGTTTTTAACTTAACAGGACTGGCAATTCGGCTTCTGATTGGCTAATGCTCTTGACAGCGCATTTTAGCGGTTTCATGTGGACGGAAATATTTTAGAAGACAATGTTCGTGTGGACGGGGATGTTTTTTTTAACGGAGGAGGAAAAACACCGTTTGTAAAAAATACCCGTGTACGTGTGGACAAGGCAAGAGGCTTCAGTTTGAACATGTTTAATGGAACAGAGCCTGTTACTAATTAGCTAGTTGTTATGGGATAGGGGGATGGTGCAGGAGAGGAAAGGATGACGATCCACAGTGCGGCTCCAAGATGACAGGGGTTTATTTATAACAAAACACAGAGCAGAAAATAAGGGAACCACGAGGGGTCAAAAGGCCATAACAACAAAACACAGGGGACACTAGTAAAGAGCAGCAACCCAGGGAGCAGAACTAAGNCTGGTGTGTTATCGCTTGCCCTATTAAACTTCGGCATTTCTCGCATTTCTGGGTCCTCGCTTCTCTCCGCCTGTCTGGTTACAGAATACTTCGCCTACAAAATGGACCCAGCGAGAAACCTGGAAACCCGGATAAGCGCTGTCGAGCAACTCCTCACTGCTCAAGCTGCGCAAGTCCCGCTTCCGGTTTTCCCACCGCGCGTCACTGCACCTCCGATCGCTATGCCGGAATGATATGACGGTGATCCCGATCAGTGTAGAGGCTTTCTTATGGAGGTGGGCTTTTATGTTGAAGAACACCCTGAGATGTTCTCCAACCCCGGGGCGGAAGTGAGATTCACTGTCTCCTTGTTAACTGGACGAGCCCGTGAATGGGCTACGGCGCTGTGGACGGATGATAGTCCCATCCTGCAGTCGGTCCGCGAGTTTCACCAGGCGCTGCTGGAAGTGTTCGACCATCCGGCCGTTGGACGACGGCCTGGATGGCGTCTCCTAGAGTGCCGTCAGGGAAATCGAACTGCGGCTGATTTCTCTTTGGAATTCCGCACTATAGCAGCTGCTCTTCGCTGGCCTGACGATTGTCTGCAAGTCATCTTCCTGCGCGCCCTCAACCCTGACCTGCAAGATGAACTATCTGCCCGAGGAGAATCACCATCTTTTGACGAACTCGTTCGTCAGGCAGTGAGGCTGGACAACACTGTAAGAGAGCGTAGGCGCCGAAGAACCCCAGCAAACCCAGAACGAGCGGTCACGGCAGCCCCTGAACCTATGCAAGTGGATCGGTCCCCACTAACCTCCGCTGAACGCAGAAGAAGAACACAGGGCGGACTGTGCCTATACTGTGGGGATACTGGGCACATTCTTTCTGCCTGTCCCATCAGACCCCAGCATGAAGAAAGGCCCCTGAGGGTAGGTGTCTCCTCTTCCCCACTCTCATCAATCACTCAATTCTCTGTACCTGTCACCTTGAGCTTTGGGGGGGAGAGATATAAGGTACGGGCTCTAGTGGATAGCGGGGCAGCGGGGAATTTCCTGGATGGGGACCTGGCTAGACGATTACACATACCTCTGCGGAGTTTAACCTATCCGATCACTATTCACGGAGTCACCGGTGAACGCATGGTAGAAGGGACTATACGTCATTGTACTCACCCTTTCCTGATGCGAGTTGGTGTTTTCCATACCGAAGCTATAGAAATGTTTGTGCTTGATCGAACCAAAGATCCCCTAATTCTCGGCCTCCCTTGGTTATGCCGGCATAACCCCCGTCTGAACTGGAGAACCGGAGAGATAGAAGCTTGGTCTGATGGATGCCTAGGCGAGTGTTTGTCCCTCCCTTGTAAAGCCACAGGGGTGGAAAGTCCCGAGCCTGAGAACCTGGAGGTTGTCCCCCAGGACTATCACGAGTACTTGGAGTACTTGGATGTCTTCAGTAAAGAGAGGGCTTTCCGCCTTCCCCCACATCGCGACAGTGACTGCTCCATCGCTCTGCTGGAAGGAGCCACTTTGCCTCGAGGTAGATTGTACCCTGTTTCCCTTCAGGAACAAGAATCTCTGGACCTCTACATACAAGAGGGAGTGAAACAGGGTATCATTCAACCATCAACCTCACTGGTCACAGCAGGATTTTTCTTCATCAAGAAGAAGGATGGGGGCCTGCGACCGGTGGTTGACTACAGGGCGTTAAACGCCATAACTGTAAAGAGAAGAGAGCCTCTTCCCCTAATTCCTTCCGCTTTAGAGCAACTGAGAGAAGCCGTTGTATTCACTAAATTGGACTTGCGGAGTGCTTATAATCTTGTTCGAATCAAGGAGGGGGACGAATGGAAGACGTCCTTTATCACCAGTAGGGGGCAGTATGAGTATCGGGTGATGCCGTACGGGTTGGCTAACAGTCCGTCTATATTCCAGTCTTTCATGAATCAGGTGTTCCATGACATGATCGATAAATTTGTTGTTGTGTACATAGATGACATACTGATTTATTCCCCTTCGGAGAAGATGCATGTTCAGCACGTGAGACAGGTCCTACAACGGCTTCGTGAGCATCATCTGTATGTTAAAGGTGAAAAATGTGAGTTCCATCAAACACAGGTTAAGTTTCTAGGATATGTGCTCCGACCCAGAGAGGTGGCCATGGATGAACAAAAGACCTCGGCCATCATGAACTGGCCACAACCTCGGACCCTGAAGGAACTACAAAGGTTCCTAGGTTTTGCCAACTGTTATCGCAGGTTCATCCGAAACTTCAGCCAGAAGGCGGCCCCTCTCACCTCTCTCACTCGTGGGAAACCTATCCGGATCGTCTGGACACCAGTAGAGGTACGCGCATTCGAATGCCTGAAAGAGGCCTTTTGTTCCGCTCCTGTGCTCAAACAGCCACGTCCAGAACTGCCTTTTGAGGTCGAGGTGGACGCTTCAGAGGCTGGCGTGGGAGCAGTCCTGATACAACGCGACCCACAGACAGGGAGGCGTCACCCGTGTGCGTACTTCTCCCGTAAGCTGACGGCCGCAGAGCGCAACTACGAGGTGGGTGAACGCGAGCTCCTAGCGATTAAACTAGCCCTGGAAGAATGGCGACACTGGCTAGAGGGTGCTAGACACCCGTTCTTGGTGCTAACGGATCACAGAAACTTAGAGTACCTGCAATCGGCTAAACGGCTGTCTGCAAGTCAAGCTCGCTGGGCTCAGTGGTTCTCCCGTTTTGTCTTCCGGGTGAGTTACCTCCCGGGTAAGAAAAACCTCAAAGCCGATGCCCTGTCACGCCAATTCGACCCCCCGGAGAGCGAAGATCTGGCATCGCCGGTTCTCAGTCCTTCCTGCTTTGTCTCCTCCATTACCTGGGGCTTGGAGGAGTCTATCCGAGCAGACAATGAGCATCGAGCAATCCCGTCCGGATGTCCTCCTGGTAGGTATTACGTCTCACTCTCCTATCGTCCAGACCTGTTGCGATGGGTTCATGCCCAACCAGGGACGGGGCATCCGGGAATTGCTGCCACTCAACAACTGGTAGAGCGTCGATACTGGTGGCCCAGCTGGCGCAAGGAAGTCCAATCCTTTGTGGAAAGCTGCCCGGATTGTGCCCAATGTAAGTCCCTCAACCAACGTCCTGCCGGACTTCTTCATCCTCTACCCGTTCCAACCAGACCCTGGTCCCATGTGGCAATGGATTTCATTACAGACCTCCCTCGTTCATCTGGTAAGACCATAATTTTAACGATCGTAGATCGGTTCTCTAAAATGTGTCGCCTGGTTGCCCTTCCTAAATTACCCTCGGCGGTCGAACTCTCGGAAGTACTCATTCAAGAACTGTTCAGAACCTCAGGTATCCCTGAGGACATAGTGTCGGACCGGGGTCCTCAGTTTGCTTCCAGGGTTTTCAAAGAGTTCTGCCGCAAATTGAATATCACCCTTAGTTTGTCCACGGCTTATCACCCGCAGTCCAACGGACTGGCCGAGCGCACCAACAGAGAGGTGGCCAAAGCCTTGCAATTACTGGTATGCACGGATCCCGCCAAGTGGTCCCAGCATCTAGTCTGGACAGAGTATTCCTTAAACTCTCGGGTCAGTCCGGTAACCCACCTCACTCCATTCCAGTGTGTTCTAGGGTTCCAGCCACCTCTGTTCCCCTGGGACGCTCCAGCAAGTCCAGTACCCAGGGTGGACACCTGGTTCCAGGAAAGCAGAGATGCCTGGAGAGCCATACAACAGGTACTACAGTCCCAAGCCGAACGGACCAAGGCCCAAGCCGACAAACATCGTCGCCCAGGATTTCCC